ATTATGAACTGTTTTTTTTTGAGGAGTTGATATACCGTGTACACAACCTTTTTACACTATACAGACACATACATGGACACACTGACAAAGCTGGGGATTACCATAATTCTCCCCCTCAACTAAGTGTGGGACAAAATATGAGGTATATTGTTGAAAATATTATCTCCATTTCCTAACAGCAAAATCTCAATATACTGCAACAGTTCTGCTGACAGAATCTTGAAAATTTTATGGATCTGAATTAAAAGCATCCACATAAAACATTTTTTTTTATTTTTCACTCTTTTTTTAAGGAACCTTACAAGTCCTTACTAACAAGTCTCCAAGGACTTTATGATGCCCCCTGTTGGCAAAAACCAAAGTGTCCTTTTAACAAGGTTCCACTGTATATTAAAAGAAAACTTCTCAAATCTGTGAAAATCTGTAAACTTTATAATATTGGATAGATATAGTCTTACAGAGAGTACATGTGGATGCTTCAAGAGAATAAGGGGCAGACGACTATGGCTCTGAGTCAGACAGCCTCTACACAGGAACCATACCAAGACACAGAGTCTGACACAACATTGGCGGACAATTAGGAAAAGACCATTTAACCTGGCTGGCTAAGATTTGTTTACAGAATTTGGGCGATTGCTTAATATGTTCAGTCACGGAAAAGCTGACTCTTGATTTTGAACATAACCGCTGTAACTGGAGAGAAAAAACATAGTTATATTAAATACAAACGTACCAAAGATGACATAAGGTTGTAGGGGACATGTCTGCAGTGTGATATGTGGTGTCCCAACAGGACGGCAAAACATTCACCGTTACCAAACATGCAAGTCTGCCGTGTGATATATGAGGTAGTTGTCCTAACACGACCAGAGATTTGTTGATTCTGTGCTTTAACCTAACAAGGAAGTCTGGCGGTAATCAATCCTTGTTATTTTATATACCTCCAGGTCAGTCACATCTAAATTCTCAAATACGAAAGGATCTTAGCGTAAAATTGGGGTTAAGCATCATCGTCACTTGTTACTTTGAATATATGCAATCAACAGTCTTTGGTAGACAACAAATTTGTTAACAATAGTGAAAGAAATATATATAAAATTACAATCAATATTCTTTGAACAATAGACAATCTTTAAAAATATGTAAACATTTGTTTGAGCATTCTCTGAAAAATGACAACTCAAAATTCAAACACTGACAACCTTTTTTCACTAGACAAACGTTAAATAATATTGTTGATTATGTCGGCCCGATCGAAAAATTGTTTGCCAAAAAGGCAATTTCCTGTTTTGGTTTTAGGTAACATGCGATATTTCTTTCACCACAAAGGGACAGAGTATGGTGCCTCTGGGAGTCAAATTTGTCCATTATTTCTAAAGAGCATTTTCTACATACAAATCTAATATAATCCGGAAGGCAATCATAGACCTGTGACCTCCGACAGTATCCGTGAAATATGTCACAAAGACTTGTTACCACAGTGCCATCAATTATTGTGTAGTTAATCTGGACTTGATCAATTGATGTTGACCAGATACCTCAGTTAGTGACGCTACAGTCTACAGACTGTAAGGTTTTAGGGCTTACTGTCCACAATTAGAGGGAACTTTATTCCAACTTATACAGTATAAATGGACTTCAGTTCTACTGTCTACAGACTGTTAGGTTTTAGGGCTTACTGTCCACAATTAGAGGGAACTTCATTCCAACTTATACAGTATAAATGGACTTTAGTTCTACTGTCTACAGCTAGACTGTAAGGTTTTAGGGCCTACTGTCCACAATTAGAGGGAACTTTATTCCAACTTATACAGTATAAATGGACTTCAGTTCTACTGTCCACAGACTGTTAGGTTTTAGGGCTTACTGTCCACAATTAGAGGGAACGTCATTCCAACTTATACAGTATAAATGGACTTTAGTTCTACTGTCTACAGACTGTTAGGTTAAAGGGCCTACTGTCTACAATTAGAGGGAACTTAATTCCAACTTATACAGTATCACTGGACTTTAGTTCTACTGTCTACAGACTGTAAGGTTTTAGGGCTTACTGTCCACAATTAGAGGGAACTTAATTCCAACTTATACAGTATAAATGGACTTTAGTTCTAGTCTACAGACTGTAAGGTTATAGGGCCTACTGTCTACAATTAGAGGGAACTTAATTCCAACTTATACAGTATAAAAAGACTTCAGTTCTACTGTCTACAGACTGTTAGGTTAAAGGGCGTACTGTCTACAAGTAGAGGGAACTTAATTCCAAGTTATACAGTATAAATGGACTTTAGTTCTACTGTCGACAGACTGTAAGGTTTTAGGGCTTACTGTCCACAATTAGACGGAGCTTAATTCCAACTTATACAGTATAAATGGACTTTAGTTCTACTGTCTACAGACTGTAAGGTTTTAGGGCCTACTGTCCACAATTAGACGGAGCTTAATTCCAACTTATACAGTATAAAAAGACTTCAGTTCTACTATCTACAGACTGTAAGGTTTTAGGGCCTACTGTCCACAATTAGAGTAAACTTTATTCCAACTTATACAGTATAAACAGACTTCAGTTCTACTGTCTACAGACTGTAAGGTTTTATGGCCTACTGTCCACAATTTAAGGGAACTTTATTCCAACTTATACAGTATAAAAATGGCATACATGCCAGAATTCTTGGAGACCAGTCTGTGAGTTTTACGATCATTTTAAGGGAATGGAGGTGAAAATAAGGGGGGGTTTCACAGCAAAAAGACTATCTTACTCAGCTAAATCACGGACTTAGATTAATTCCGTGGCTAAATTAATGAAATAAAGCACAAAATCTTAAAGTAAGGAACTTTGTTTTGACTTTGGCAGGTGTTTTTTGGTATATATTGAATATGATTATATACATTTAATAGCACAAAGTTAACAAAACAAAATTCACAGCAGCCACAGTACTACTGATGTTCAGTTTAAACTTTGAACTATGTATTTGGATAATGGTTGTCTGTGTTCATTTACATTTGAACTTCTTGATAATGTAACAGAATGTTGAAACATGCATTTAAGAAGAGGACAGAAATAATCAGCTGTGAAAGTGAAGAAAACTGTGTTCAGCATTTGAACTTTTAAATTACATATTTCAGCATTCAGAACAAATACTTTTCCCATCTTCTTCATGACGTGGCCCCTTATATATTTACTGGTCGTTCTCTTTACTTTCATAGTGAAATTATATTTGTAAAGAAACACTTAGCCAGACATAGTATTTATCAAAGTTTCTAGCAATAAAATAACCTTACAAACATGACAGAAAACATGTTTTGTGCTAATTCTACGGACAGTGTGAGGTATCAACTTCACGGGAAATGTTGATGCTGAACAGCTGAACCCGACACCGTCGCGTAGTGGCTAAGACTAAGAATGTCAGGCATTCTGTAGTATCACGGAAATTAATGGCAACAATAAGTCTTTAATATGAATTTATTTTAATTGTTCAGATAGATTACTTAAATTGTAAAACACACCGAAATCAACTCACAATTTCAATCTGCCCATTTCAACCAGCTAAATTTTCCGGAAGTTATCAAAAGAGCTCTTCGATCACATGACCAATCACATGACCGCTTATCGAGAGTATTCGTGATTTATCACTGTAAACATTGTGGAATCTTGTAAGACTTTGAGTAATCAACAACAGCAAAATGGTTCACCGATCGATCATTAAAAAACGTGAGGACTTCAGGACTTTCCGTAAATTTATGTCCCACGCCGTGAGACTTTATCAGAGGTGAAAATCCGTGAGATGTTCTACAGCCAGTGTCCCTGTGGCACCATCAGGTAAAACACAAACAACCTGTGGCATTATGATATAAAGTACAAAACACATGGTCAAAGGTATCGTAGCAATACAAATTTGATGTAACACTATAAGCTTAAACTTAATAGATATACTTGTACCAGTCCAGTCCCAATTTGTATTTCTGTCATTTTTACAAGAAAACATGAAGCGTACCTACACAGCATGTCTGTTAATGAGACTAAGCTATGGGACATGTATGGATATTGGCTCAAACAGGACAATATCTGGTAAAGGGAATTAAATTGCAAGGTATATATAGTTTAAAGGGACGCTGACCTAGCTGTAGAAATGAAGATGAGCGGATTAAAGCCATAATGTCTGAAGACAAGTTTCCTGTACATGACAGCTGATAAAGTCTCCGGTGAAAACTACAAAGTGATAATTGACTTTATAGTATGTGTTTTAACTGTGAAGAAAATGTTAAAAGTCTTTTCTCTTTGGGTGTTTAATGGTTAAGGAAATGTAGGTCACTGGGAACTTTTTATGGAACATGACACTCCTTCAACCCTACTTGTTACAGCTAACGAAGTTTAGTGATTCCATCTTCATAAAAAACGCAAAGAAACAACGGCCTATAGATTTTCCTTCAGACTTTTTTTATTTAGTTGAGTGGAAAACACAGTTTACATTTACACAGCTAATCTGTTGTGTGTAAGAAACCTTCCTTTTAGTTTTAACAGGGCCTGTCATTTAGGGAACCTGTGTGAATATGTAAGGAAATAATGTCCAGAAAAACTTTATTCATCAACAATCCATCAATTCCACTTGTAACATCGCGATAAGTTTGACGAAGAAACATTGGCAAATAGTTAAATTTTAATTGATGTTCACAGACTTTTTTTTATGAAGGGCAAAATTAAATTAAAAAGGGCAAATATGGATTTTTACCAGTGAAGGGCGAAAACTTCTCAGGATAAAGTATAACGGATACACAGACACATGAATAAAATGAATACAATATCCTCACTTTTTTAAACAAGGGTATGAAACGAAACAGTCAAGGATTGGTGGCAAGCCCCATCAAATACAAAACAACCAGTTGGAGAAGGCACTTCGGCACACTGCTATTGAGTGTCAGGCAGGTGATACATTTAGCAGGTGACTGGAAATCCCAAACCGATCAGAACGTCAAACTTTAATGTAGAATACTTCAACACTCACCGTTGCCATTTCTGTATCTGCATCTGTTGACTTCCTCGTGCCTCTGTGGATTCTCAAGAGAATGCCGACAATTCACGATCGCTCATACCAGTCACTTTGTATGACAAATTCCATTTCATTCCGTGAAGTTAAAACTGTAGCCATGTCTGAAAAAGATCAAAGTGTTAAGAAATTTTAAATGATAATTTGACATGTGTGTTAAATTATAGTTTATATACAACTTTTATTGCTCCCTTGCTTATATATATCATAGGTTNTTGTATCTAGGTTTTTCATGTTTATGTTTTTATGCAAATTAGGGGAGTGTTAACCAATCAGCATTAACCCCTAGAGGGTATGTGGTATTGTCAGTGCCCCTCATTATTGATTTACGGCGGGTGTTGGTGTGTTTGCTTTTCGCGTATTCTTCGACTTTTCAAGTGTTTACTACACTATGGATTTATCTTAAACTACACCACGATTACTCAGTGACAGTCATCGCCGTATGATTTAACTTTCGCCAGTTTGTTACGTTGTTAACGTGAATCAGTATGAGGAGAAACATTTGTTTACTTTTTGCGTGATTTTTGGACTTGAGGTGTGGCTACGCTACTGTACACACTGGGAGCAAGGCAGCCTACTGATTGTTTACTGTTGTACGAATAATACCACCTTACAACTTCGTGTTTAAGGACTTGACGCACTGCCTTTACAATTATAGCAAGCAAAATACTTCACCGTGATTCGTCATTACGGTGTGAACTTGACATTGTATGTGCATTCAACCTTGCCAACCTACACCTTAGGCTATTTATAGCATTAATATTTAGGCCTATCGACAATAGTTTTAAAACATGGGGTCTAAGTAGCAATTCTACAGTTGTTCCGTACGATCCGGTAGCTCATTTCCGAGAGGAATTGACAAGATTGACGGTACCGTTCAGTGCCAACGGGAAACGAACGGGTTTGATAAATAATTTGAGAGACTCGAGGACAAGAGGTGCGCGATCCCACAATTCCGTGCGACAAGATGGCAACCAGGTTACTTCGAATCGATATTATTCCTCGATGGTTCGCATATGCAAACGTTGGTCGACATCGTCACTAGATTGGCAGAGAGTGTGTCAACACTACAGGACAGTTATGTCAGACTGGAAAGGCGATTAAGTGATTCCGTTACTAGCGTTGCCACAACAGTGAGTTCTGTGACTATTCTTCCCGGCATCAAGTTTCTCCTGCAGCAGTGGCCGGACATCAACTCGGCACGGAATCGAGGATCCTTAATCAACCTCAAGCAGAGTACACCTTAGAGACTGCATACATAAGTTGAAAAACATATGCATCACCAGCATGCACTTTCAAAGTTTCCAGGTGAAATCCGTCCTACAGGCTCCCTGAACAGCGAAGAATGTCGACACTGTCACAACAACAACACGTGTGTATCTTCTCTGGCTGACATCAGAGGTGTGACGAACGCAACGCGTTCGGTTTAAATGAACCTCAAGTCTTACTCAAGTCCTTGGTTCTTACCAGACAGGTTCCAGGCTATCGGGCTACTCCCAGGGCTTTATGATATCGTCTATTCTGCATGCTACGTGGGCGCTTCTAGGTCTATTCGATTTCAAGTCATAGAGTTTAGTCGCTTCTCTGCAGCACAGTAGAGTCAAGCTTCTTCTCTAGGTCTATTCTATGTCAAGTCTTAGTGTCAAGTCGCTTCTCTGCAGCACAGTAGAGTCAAGCTCCTTCTCTAGGTCTATTCGATTCAAGTCTTAGAGTCAAGTCGCTTCTCTGCAGCACAGTAGAGTCAAGCTTCTTCTCTAGGGTTATTCTATGTCAAGTCTTAGCGTCAAGTCGCTTCTTTGCAGCACAGTAGAGTCAAGCTCCTTCTCTAGGTCTATTCGATTCAAGTCTTAGAGTCAAGTCGCTTCTCTGCAGCACAGTAGAGTCAAGCTTCTTCTCTAGGTCTATTCGATTTCAAGTCTTAGAGTCAAGTCGCTTCTCTGCAGCACAGTAGAGTCAAGCTTCTTCTCTAGGTCTATTCGATTTCAAGTCTTAGAGTCAAGTCGCTTCTCTGCAGCACAGTAGAGTCAAGCTTCTTCTCTAGGTCTATTCGATTTCAAGTCTTAGAGTCAAGTCGCTTCTCTGCAGCACAGTAGAGTCAAGCTTCTTCTCTAGGTCTATTCGATTTCAAGTCTTAGAGTCAAGTCGCTTCTCTGCAGCACAGTAGAGTCAAGCTTCTTCTCTAGGTCTATTCGATTTCAAGTCTTAGAGTCAAGTCGCTTCTCTGCAGCACAGTAGAGTTAAGCTTCTTCTTTAGGTATATTTAATTTCAAGTCTTAGAGTCAATTCGCTTCTCTGCAGCACAGTAGAGTCAAGCTCCTCTAGGTCTATTCAATTTCAAGTCTTGGAGCTCGAGTCAAGTCGCTTCTCTGTAACACAGTAGAGTCAAGCTTCTTCTCTAGGTCTATTCAATTTCAAGTCTTAGAGTCAAGTTGCTTCTCTGCAGCACAGTAGAGTCAAGCTTCTTCTCTAGGTCTATTCGTTTTTAAGTCTTAGAAATGTGTTTTGCACGATACTATTAACATTCGTATGTGTGACATAGTGGTGGTGCCGGACAAGTCTTCCTTTACTCTTTTTCTACGTTCATCAAAACGGACCCCTACGGTAAAGGAGTGAACATTAAAGTGTTTGAAAACAATGTTTTGCATCCTGTGCTAACCATGATTCCCTATTTAGCAGCAAGTNGATTATCATCTTCTCTCAGTTTGATTGGTTAACATAGAGAACTATAGAATATGGTAGTTTGTATATTAACACTTTGTGCTCTTAGCCATTCAACTGAGATGTAATACACAATAAATACTTAGTTAAATATTTACAAGCAGTTATACAATTTTCAGCTCAAATACCAGAGGCCTCAATCCTCAAACTCAGTCTTTCATTGTATAAGTAAATCTTCAAATTTCAAAAAGAAAACTTGCTTAAGATCATTTTCTTTTCAAAATACATGAATATATTGATAAACAACAGCTACTCACTATAAAACCTACGTGTTTCATGTCCGTGTCCAAAACCTACGTATGTATTTCATGTCCGTGTCCAAATCCTACGTGTTTCATGTCCGTGTCTAAAACCTACGTATGTATTTCATGTCCGGGTCCAAAACCTACGTATGCATTTCATGTCCGTGTCCAAAACCTACGTGTTTCATGTCCGTGTCCAAAACCTACGTGTTTCATGTCTGTGTCCAAACAAATCATTTACAAAGTGTACACAGACAAAAACTATAATGAAAGAAGTTATGAGGTCGGTAAGGCAGTAACAAAATTTATTGTGTTATCTATGTTATCTATAAGTATTTCAATGGGATAAGAAATGTATGAAGTCATATTGTCTTTGTACCGAACAAATAAAGGACTGGATTTCAACTCACTTGTAGGTAAAACAAGGGACCTGCTGCAAAGGAACGGTAGAACTAGTGATTTCTCTCAGTCAGCAAAGTGATATACGAAATGTATGGTTGAAACTTTATTTATTTTCAAACAATTATGAAACAACCTTTTCCAGTTTCTATAAATAGCTCATGCTAGACTGGATGGAAGCATGCATGCAGAGGGTCTTAATTTGGAAGCAAACCAGAGTACCCAGAGAAACGCAGGTGGTAGGGCAGGTCACCCAATACCTTTTCACATCTGATCTGGGAAGATACCCAGCTATATTGGTGAAAAAGCATTTGTGTCACCCACTGTGCCATCCAACTAGATTGGCCCATCTGAGCCTCTTTGTGTTACCCACTGTGCCATCCCACTAGATTGGTCCGTGATGATGAGACTGAGCCTCTTTCATTTTCATCATCATTTTTTGTTTGTAAATAAATCTCTTGATGCTCTGAGAAGGGCATAATTAATAGTTGATGTACTTTATTCACAAAGTCTTAATTTCTGAAAAACTCTGTAAAACTCTTATTTTCTCCATCAAACCCTTGTGTTCCTCATATTTAACCTTTAAATCACTTTGCCCTGCTATATGTTATCAAGAGCAAAGTGCTAAATCTTTTGTGAAAGCAATGTTAGGTCAAAACACACAATATCATAACAGAGTTAAAAGGAAAAACTTGATTGGAGTTCACAAATACATTATCATCATGAAGGTCGTAAACCAGCTTCAAGGTCATCAGCTAGATATTGGCGATTTTCCCAATTTGTTTTCTAAGTAAAGAAGGTGAGAGGTTAGATGTTTGCAATTCAGCCATATCTAACATGTAATTTAGTCAGAACGGCTAAGGCTAGAATGCTGTCTTGGAAAAGAGCTTCTCTGGTGGGGTTAAATTCTAAGATGTGTCAAATTCTATCGCATCACCATGCATGCAAAATCTTACTGCATTCGTTGATTTTTACGTTACACAGTATCTTTATCAACCGAAAGTTGTTAAGTCCTTCGTCTGTGTTGACAGTCACATAGACAGTCCTCAACTCATTCACCCGTGAAGACACATTTGCACTCTTCCAATTCAAAGGATGGAATAGTACATTATGAAATTTCAGGGGTGAATGAGTTAGTTAATTCAGTGACTGGCATTATGATGTCAACTTTGTTATATATGTAGTAAGTGTAGGTTTATGGTTACGGGGTAAGGAAAAGTCTCTCTTGCATACAGTAAGGAAAAACTCCATTCTACATGTTGAAATAGAAGGATTTTTAAAACAGTATGTCTTTAGATAAGAAGGACAAGACCAGCACCGAGAAGCTGATTCCACTTCAAATCAGAACATGAATTTTAATATCAAACATAATCATAATTACTCTGTTACCAGATTCCTTTACTTCGTTTGCATATAATTATAAGCCCCCTTTATATAATTATTTTCAGTCAAATTTTAAAATGTTACAGGTTACATTTCGAATGGTATTTATTTGTTCATGATTGTATGTAATTTCAGTCTAACTAAAAAAGTACACAAATTTTACAATTTTACAGAAAATGACCAGATATTCTAAATCAGTCTCCATTTATAATTAGACATACTTTTACAGGCTTTCTCTTGAAAAACTTCATTTTAAATTTTTTGTTTATTTTTTCGGGAATATAAGACGTCAGCATCTATTTGTCTTTATAATGGCTATTAATTAGCAATA